TAATAATAATAAATTTAATAATAATAAATTTAATAATAATAAATTTAATAATAATAAATTTAATAATAATAAATTTAATAATAATAAATTTACAATACATTTTAATACATTTAACACATTTAATACATTTAACACATTTTGATGCATTTAATAGATGGTCAAAGGATTGAAATTCTTGAAGGACGAATTAAACATCATTCACCGTGGTATGTTTAAGTATCGGATGCCTTTTCAGTGGAAGTTAGTGGAAGTTTAATTTATAAAGTTTGTATATTTTATTTATTTTATTTTTTTTTATTCTTTCGTTTGTAGATGTGAAACCCACAAATGTTCTTGTAAATAGAACAGGAGAAGTGAAACTTTGTGATTTTGGAGTGTCAGGTCAATTGGTAAAATCACTTGCCAGAACGAATGTCGGATGTCAAAGTTATATGGCGGTAAGAACTAATAATATTTTTATTATTATAAAATTCATTAGTATAATATTCATCCAAGTAATTAAATAATTAAATAATTTAAATAATTTAAATAATTAAAATAATTAAAATAATTTATAATGTTTCAAATGTTATTATAGCCAGAACGATTCAATTTATCAGAGAACGGCTATGGAGTGCAATCCGATGTTTGGTCTCTTGGACTTGCAATGGTAGAAGTTGCTATTGGAAAATATCCATATCCTGTTCAGAGTAGTGGAAAGGGTGGAATATGGGATCAACTATCGGCCATTGTTAATGAAAAGTCACCTTCGTTACCTAACGATAAGTTCTCAGAAGAATGTTGTGATTTTGCGGCTCAATGGTATAAAATTTAATTAATTCCATTCCATTTAATTAATTTCATTCCATTTGATTAATTTAATTAATTTCATTCCATTTAATTAATTTAATTAATTTGTTTTTAGCCTGAATAAAAATCCCAGCGAACGCCCGACATATTCCCAATTATTGGTAAGAAAATAATTTCAAATATTTAAATAATTTTTGATGTCAATATATTTTAAAATAAATAAATAAACAAAAAAAAAAAAACAAATAAAATAATTTACATTTATAAACAGGAACATCCATTTGTGAAAAAATATCAAGATGCAGCAGTTGATATGAAATCATGGGCAGAAGAATCTTATTCATTGCGGCAGGATATTTATAAAGAATAATAATGATAATATTTTTATTTTTATTTCGAAGATTTTATCTATATATATATATATGGTCGATAGTGACTATAAATTATACATTAAAATATTTGTAACGATTTTGTTAATAAGATAATTTAGAATACTCTTTAAGACTTTTATTCTATAAACAAACAAACAAACAAACCTTCATTATATTAATACGAATAGATAGTTTGTACTTTTTATTTCTTTTTTATTTCTTTTTATCTCTTTTTGTCTTTTTTTTTTTTTTATCTCTTTTTGTCTTTTTTTTTTGTCTCTTCTTTTCCAGTTTATATATACAGTATTTCAAGTATTTCATGTATTTCAAGTATTTCATATGAACGTAGAGACTATTCGAACTATTTTCATAAATTTCTATTTTTAACAATTAAATAACATTTGTTGAAAAAAAATAATATTTAAATCAAACTATTGTATAAATTATAAATTGTATAATTTGCAGCACTAAATATTATAAATATTAAAATTAATAGAAAAAATGAACATTCAATTTTTGAAATATAAAATTTATTATTCTGATATGACATGACATGATTAACATCAATAAGTTTTCTTTAATGCATCAATAAAATTTTTCTGAATACTGAATTTCTATAATTACTATAATTACTATAATTACTATAATTACATTTAAGTAATAATTCCCAGTTAATTAAAGACTATAATCATTTTTATATAAATATAAATAATAAAGAAAAATTAAAAAACTATAAAGAATTTCTAATACCAAATTTACAAATTTTATATGTATAATACATTATTATTTTTAATTTATATTAGCATTAAAGTGTTCTACCCGTCTATTTATATATATAAATATATGTCTATAATGTCATGCTTGTTAGTTTTTTTTTAAAGAAAAAGAATTGACGGTGGTAAACCACGTGAATATCTTATTATTATTATAACTATTATTATATAATAATTATATTGTTTTAATGGAGTGCATTTAAATACACGGGAAATAATACATTGTTATCCTTAAGAATTATTTGAAAATTCTTTTTATTGGTATTTCAAAAAGGGTAGAAAGAGATACAATGCAGGCACGCTTTTACCTAATAAAAAATAGAAAAGAACAAAAGGTTTGTGCGAGTTTGAACTAAAAAAAAAGTAAATGCCTAATAATTGTTAAACTGCGTATAATCTTGTGAAGTTAGAAAGTGTAATCCGATTTTATGCAAATTTGCATAAAAAATCCATAATATTATATCAATATTATATCAACATTATATCAATATTATATAATGAGATTTCTGGTTAATTTATTTTGTAAATGTTGTAATCTATTGTAATTATTATTCTTATTATTATTCTTATTATTATTCTTATTATTATTCTTATTATTTTATTATTATTATTATTATTATTATTATTATTATTATTATTATTATTATTATAATTGTAATTATTATTGAATTTATTTATATTTGTTATTTTCTTAAAAAATGATCATGAAAATGATCGTAAAATGACTGGACGCGCGAATTCAAAAAAAAAAAATCCAACGAATCAGCAAAAAAAAAAGCATTGAAAGTAAAAATTTACTAGGTTTAATGCATCAATGCCTCCTCACATCTACTTGTCGGAGTATGATTGAAAGTTTTGTTAATTAATAATCGACAACACTATAAAATTACATCAATAGAAAATACTTTAGCATAATTTCAACTCCTATATGTTAAGGAATAGGGATAAAAATAATGATGAATCATGCGCTTCTGACGTATTTGGTAAAAAATAGCAAATATTTCTATATATTTCTATAAGGTTGTAAAAAGATTCATTGAATTTCCGATAAATAAATAATGAGTTTATATAAATTTATTATATGTATAAATAATGTATAAATAAATAAATATATATATATATATATAAATATATTCTGTATATCTTTTTTTTTTTTTTTTGTATATACTTTTTTCGTATAAATATATATTTTTATATATTTTGTATATATTTTGTATACATTTTGTATATATTTTGTTATTAATATCATGCTAGCATACCCTTATTTACCCTATTTCCCTTTAGGAATCAAAGTCAACTATGCGTAGTATTTTTTTTTTTTTTTTTTTTTTTTTTTTTATATCAATCAAACTTATCAATTTGCAAATTTGTAAAATGTCAGTGATTATTGATAAATATAACTCAATAAGTATCTTTTCTCTTTCTCTCTTTTAAAAGATTATCCCTCTCCCCAAAAATATAAATATAAAATTATAAAAATATAAAAAATATTATAAAAATTATAAGAAAATATAAAAAAAATATAATAACCATAAACAATTAAAATATTAATCAATAATCACACACTTTTCCGGTCTTGATTGCCATTGTTTGGTAACTTGATATAAAAACTATACCTTTATTGATCAACTTTTGGTTTTTTTTTAAAAAAATAATTTCCTATCGATTTTTATATTTATATATATTTTTTTTCTTTCTCTTTAAAAGATAACTGAAGAGCTTCATTCTTTTCCTTCATCTTTAAAAATATTATTTACTCCTTTTCCTAAACGCGTTGAAACAGCACGCATAATTTCAGTAATTATTGAACGCATATAAACTATTAACTTTAATAAATCCAAAATTTATCATACCTGAAAATATGTTTTCAATAGATTCTTCTGAAAATTCATCAGGTATTTTATTGTCATTTCTTTATATCCGTAATCATGCTTTTGGCTTTACAAAAAAAAAATTCTTTTGGTTATTATTATCTTTTAATGTTTACTAATATGATTCGTTTTATTTCAAGTCACAAATGGTGCCGAAAACAGCAACAATAATAATTTAAGAGCTCTTCCTCCTTCTCTATACTCTGCAAATACGACAATGTTGTCATTCAATAATGTTGAACAATCGTATACAAGAGTAGTAGGTCAAGTATATTCTAGAGAAACTGTTACAACTATTTATGGTGATCCCCCGACTGCTTTCTGGGTGAGTTGTGCTACATCGGAAAATACCAAAAAAAATTTTTTTTCGTTGTTGGCTCGTAGACTTCATTATAATTTAGAAATTATCATAATATATATATATATATATATATATATATTGTGAGACATATTATCAAAACAAATACATCATCGAATATATTAATAATAAAAAAAATACATATTAATTTTTAAAGAATCGATATTATTGTTACATCTGTCGTTCCGCCATAAATCCTCGCGATTTAATATCATGTGCATCTACTACATGCGATATTTTTGCTCACACTGGTATGTAATTTATATTAATTATATTAATTTATATTTAATTATTATTATAATTATCATATTCTACGTTAATTAATTTTGTCATTTTTTTTTATTCTTGTATGAAATTATATTAAAATTTTGTATTAGCTTGTTTGATTAACATTGGAATTCATGAAAAAAATGGTATTTGGCATTGTCAAAAATGTATTCCAACCACGCGACACGAGATTTATTTGGTAAATAATCCTATTATTTTGTCACTTTTTATTACTGTATCTTTTTTTTTTTGTTGATGTTTCGAAATCATTTTTATTATTTTTTTTTCTTTTAAGCCATCATCCAATAACAATGTCGAAAGGAATGTTCCTGTACAAATAAATCCATTGCATTTGTTATTAGAAGCATCGGATCAATTAGTAAATATATATATATATATATATCTATCTTTTTTTTCAAATAATTTTATCATCTCTAAGTTTGACTCTCCTTCATTAATTAATTATAGCAATCAACCGAAAACAATTCTGATGTCACTGCGCAACAATATGATAATAATAATCCTGACCTCTCTCATGAAAATCTTTCAAATTTGAATCCTCCATCTTTGTCATTTAATTTTAATTTTAATTCGTTTAATAATAACGATACTCAACAAGAATCTGCCGTTAAAAAGTTCGAAACTCAATATGCGTCTTTCGATGAAGGTATATAATACTCAAATAATCGAAAATAATTGAGGAATTATTCATTTCTAATAATAATATTGGTTAACAGAACGCAGTAATCTTATTCGTAATCTTGAACGTACACGCACACGACAAAACCAAGTTACAGAAGCACTTAAAGAATCCATAACAAGATTAACTCGTGAACATACTAAAAATCTTGAAAAACGTGATAATTTACGTAAAGAAAATCATAAACTCAACAATGCTTTACATAAGCTTAAACTCGCCTTAATTCCTTTGGCTCAAGAAAAGCCTGTATTACAAATTCTGCAAAAAGTATCACAGAATGAAGAATTACAAGAACAAGATATAAATTTGAATAATGTTTTGTCTTTATTTATGGGATTATTACCTAAATCTACCCATTCCGCACTCTCAGGTTTAGTTGGAAATGACACTTTCGCTTCTTCATCATCTTCAGTTCAAAACGCATCATCCAATTTCTTGTTCCCTGAAATTTGTCAAAAATGTTTGGAAAAAGGAGGAAATTTAGTTTTTTGTTTTCATTGTCAAAGAGCTCAACACGTTGATTGTTGCGTTAAAGAAGAAAAACCCTTTTACGGGAAATGGATGTGTGATGAATGTAAAAATAACTTAACTACTAAACGTAAACATTGTGATGATAAAAATTCAAAGTTTCCGACTTTGACATTGATTGGAAATTATAAAAGAATCAAAATAAATGAGAAAGATGACGCAGCAAAAGAAAATACACCAGTATATAATAATAACATGTGCAATCTAGATGATAGAGGTGATAGAGATGGTAGAGATGATGCGCAGAATGATGATTCTGAACGATATGCATCTAATAATACACAACCAGAAGATAATGAAAATAATGAAAATAGTTATGATGGTAGAAGTGAATCAGAAATTGAAATGAAAAATTCAAATGATTTAACATACGAAAAGTATGATCGAACACCACCACCTGATAATGGCCCAGAGGCTTCAAGACAGCCCGCTAGATTTGACGGTGATATGTATGTAATTTAAAATATAAAATATAAATAGATTAATATATTTATGGACAAAATAAAATAATAATTATTAATTAATTTTTATTTATTTAGGTATACTCCTCGTTGGGTTCGTGGAGTTGGAAAATCTAAGGAGGGCCTTTGCCCTCATTGCGAACCTCCGCGATGGCTCAAAACAAAGATTTCTGCCTATTGGTAAATGAAAAAAATTTTTGTCATGATAAAAAAAAAATATATATATATATATATATTTAAAAATAATAAATAATAATAAATAATAATAATTTATTCTGGACACGTTCTATTTAGGTATCATCTTAATTATCAACATGGAATTTCATCAATTACTGGACGACCATTTACACAACCTACATCAGAACGTATCAATAAAAAAACCGGCATGAAAGAAGCCATGTGTCATAAATGTAATAAATGGGTTTTGAATCAATCACCCAGAGATAAAGAAGTTTTGGTTCCCGAAATTTATTGGTAAAAATTTCATTACATATAATTAGATATTTTATATATATTATTAACAAAATCCTTTATAAATTTAGGTACAAGCATGCACAAAAATGCCATCACACTCCTGTTTGAATTTTTATGGTAATTGCTTCTTTTTTTTTTGAGAATAATTCACTATTTTGATAAATTTACTAGCTTTTTTGACAATTTTATTTGGATAATTTGGATTTTATTGGAAATGTAACAAAAAAAAAAAAACTTGTATTTTCATGTATTTTTCAATTATTGAAAGTGTAATAAAAATCTGAAAGGGTTGTATCAAATTGTAAATTTATGGTTTAAGCAAAAAAAAAAAAGATTAGTGTAACGAATTTCCTTGTAAGACTTGATCGATAAAAATATCTACCTTTAACAATAAATTTTTTAATGCAAATCCAATAAAATTAATAAAATTGCAATAAAATTTCTAAATTTTACATTTTATTCTTTTCATTACGACACAGTAAATAAATGCTATAATCAATATAACTTATTAATAATATACTGTACAGTTTTGTTATAAAAAGAGAAATCATTAAATTATTTTAAAGTTAAATATTCAAGAAAAGTCTATAGTAAATATATATATATATATAAAAAGAGTAAATTTATTCAGTTTGTGATACTTCAGTTCTAAAATTCGAAAAGGTTCCGTATGTTCCTTGATTACTAAAATTTGCCTCTTCAGAATTCATTTGCACTCTTGATTCATTTATTACTTTATAATTTACATTTGTTGAAATTAAATCATCATTTTCATTATCCTCTATGATGATATTTCTATCACTTCGTCTTTTGATCAATACAGGTATTAATACTGCTACACCAATTAATACTAAAGCACCCACATTTGTCCAACTAAAAATTTGAAATTCATCAGAACTTGTCAAATTATTTATAGTTAATCCAGCTTGTACATGTATTAAACTTGGACCGGCTACACCCAAAAAGGTTCCGACAAAGAAAATGGAAAATGGGACGCCAACATGTGGAGCAGCAATGTTGGCAAACCAGTTTGGAGGGAAAGGCATTAAACGGAGGATGATCATATAATTTAAAAGATGACGAGAATGAGCATGAAGTTGTGAAGACCAGGTAGAAAGTTTTGTGGAGAAGTTACTATGAACCAAAGATTTTCCAAAAGTTTTAGAAAGGAGATAACAATTCGAGGACCCAATAGCCGAACACTACATTAATAAAAATTAAAAAAAAAAGATTTGAATAAAATTTAAAATCTTCTCTTTTAAACCTATTACATACCATTACATACCCCGCAAATAATCAATAAAGATATTGGTAATCCGAATAATGCTCCACCTAATATTGATAACCACATACTTCCAGGTATTGAAAATGTTTGAAGACTAATTGTGTGTGTGTGTGTGTGTTGTACGTTTTGAATTTAGAAATTACAATTAATAAATTAATAAATTGATAAAATTGCATAAATTGCATAAATTGCATAAATTGCATAAATTGATAAATAAATTAATAAATATAATTATATAAAGATAAATCTAATTACTTACAAAACGTAGACAACAGAATAAGTAGTCATCACGTTAAAATAATATTGATCCATGTATTCACTCAAAATTTTGTTTAATTCTTGAAGATCTTCAATACATTTTGGTAATCGAAGTTTTTGTTTTTGATTACTTTAAATAAAATGAAATAAAATAAAATGAAATAAAATAAAATGAAAATAAAATAAAAATTAAAATAAAATAAAATGAAATAAAATAAAATGAAAATAAAAAATGAAATGAAATAAAATAAAAATTAAAATAAAAAAATAAGATAAAAAAAAAAAAGATATAACAATTACTTACTCATCAAATGGTGGTAAATTAATTTGTAACATTGAGTAAACTATAACAACCGACAACATGAATAAACATATCAATTGTATCAATGCTTTTAATGATCCCAATTTATTTAATGTGTTTCTTGTTTCTTCTTCTCTTGTATATTCTATTGTTTCTCCTTCTATTGTTTCTCCTTCTATTGTTTCTCCTATTATTTCTTCTCTATCATTATTAATTTCAATAAAAGTCATTCCAGTTTCACAATATTGCTTTAAATTCTCTGATCCATTATCATTTGACGGTGGCATATTTAATGTTATCATTGAGTCAAAGGAATCATAATGTGAAGGAATATTTTGCTTATTTAGTAATGTAGTATTCTCTGATTTATGAGGTGGCGTTGAGGAAAGTTTGATTATCATTATTTTTAAAGAATGGATTATTATTATATAATTATATATTAAGAAATAACATATGCTGCAGTTGTCTATATGAAGTAAAAATTAATTAAGATTATTTAATATTTATATTATAAAATAAGAGATTTTAAGCATTCGATTAAAAAATGTGGAAACTAAATTAGATTAAAATTTTCTTTTTATTGTCTTTTATTATCTTTTATTGTCTTTTACTGTCTTTTATTGTCTTTTATGTGATAAATTTGAATGACTCGAAGACAATGAAATATTTAGGAGATTATAAATATAGAGGTAAATATCGAAAGAAAATAGAAAAATATTTGATTCTTAAAGATAATATAAAATTAATATAAATATTTATGCTATTCATATTAACATAAATCTTAAATTAAATATATTAAAAAAATATAATAATATAATATAAAATTGTTTATCGAGAATCTTTTCTAAAGATAAAAATAATTTATTAGAAAAAAGATAAAATGGTGAAAGGACGAAAATTATTTTTTATGCGAAATGCAGGTAATTGCATTGGGTTTTTATACAAAGTATTTATTATTATTATAATGAAATAATTAATGAATATATTATGATAAAATGGATAAAATTATTATAAATTATTATAAATTAATATAATTATTATCTATTTTATCTAATTTATTTTATCTAATTTATTCATCTATTATAATAATAATTATTATTAATATTAACCATTTACCTATCATCTATACACGCACATTTTTTAATGGACAGATTTAGTAATATAAAGGAATGATGAGAATTTTCATTATTATTTAAATAAAACACTTCGGGAAGTTAATAACTAAAATTATCTGTAAAAGATAATAATAAAAAAAAAAAAAAACAATGAATAAATTTATAATTTTATTTATTCTAGATTTGGGTTAAGGAATAAAACAGAATAATTCTGTATCTGGTCACGTTCTTTTGGGATATGATAATAAACAATGATATCATATAGTTATACCATTTTGACCATTTTTTGATTCTTTATTGACTTTATTTTCTACTTGTTGCATTTGTTGCATTCAACACAACAATAATAATAAACATAATCAGATAAAAAATATATGATCACGTGTTTACTGCTAATTATTGATTTAATATAAATCCGCGGATTTACTATTTTGTATTGTCATTATTATTATTTTTTTTTTTATTATTGTTAAAATGAAATGAAGTCTCGGATAAATTATTCAATTCCCTCCTGGAAAATTAAAGTATTTAAAGTATTATAATTGTGTAATTTTAAGTTCAATCAAAACTAACTGATAAATATGATGAAAAATTAACTCAGAGCTATTTTTTTTTTTTTGAAATTTGGCTCCTTTTTTTTTTTTTTATAAATTAATTAATCACGTTTTTTCCGTTTTTTTTTTTTTGATTTATTACTAAAAATCGTTACTAAATTTAGTAAAGATATGATGTGGGAAAAATGGGCGTAGTAAATTTAGTAAATTGGATTCATTTAAGAACCCAAAGGAGCGGAAGAGCAGTTGTTCCCTTGAAATCTGCACAGTATTATGTGTATTATGTCTATTTAATATGATGTTTTGTGTTTTAAGTTTCATCGTCTCGTTTTTGTCTTTTACGTTCAAGTGGCTTTGACATATGATAGATTAATTAAAATTTTTTTTTCTTTGCATTCATCAAATCTTCAAATGCCACGTATCTCAATTTTTTCTTTTAAAATATTCTTTGTACATGACCCATTACATGTGAAGATACACACAAAAGATCAAAGTCAAAAAAACAAAACAATTAATAGCGCGTTTTTAATTTTCAGACAATGTATGATGGAAAATGATTATAATTATTAAAATTATCAATTCATTCATATATTCAATTCAATACATTCAATACATTCAATACATTCAATATTTTCAATATATTCAATACATTCAATATATATTTCAATATATTCATAGTCGAATCTACATTAAAATAACTACTAAAATAACTACTAAAATAACTACTAAAATAACTACAAAAAATATCAGTTTACATAATTACATCATGATTACTGCATTGCATTAGAAAAGATTAGAAAGGCGTACAATATTTTTTGATGATTTAAGAATTGATTCAAATTTATTAAAATAGTTAGAATTTTCCTTTTTCATTTAAAATCTTATAGGATAAAGTGATTCTCTTTTCATTCCCAAGTTTATATCGCTCTGTTACACTTCAAGAGTAAGCGTTTTATACCTTTTGATGTTCTTTGTTTATTAAATCTTCAATATATGAAAAAATTATGTTATATAAGTCTGTGCGAAAATTATTCGTTTGAATAAATCTTGTTTGTTAAAAATTTTTAATACGTAAAACAATTTATAATAATTCTTAATAATTATATAATATAAAAAATAGTAAATTCAAAAACTTAAATTTGTAATGGACCACCAAACTCAAGATCAAACTGGTCAAACTGCTTCAACAGCAACAGCTACAAATGTTCCTGAATTAATTCCTAATACTCAAACTGGTCAAACTGCTTCAACAGCAACAGCTACAAATGGTCCTGAATCAATTCCAAGGGAACCTAATACTCAAACTGGTCAAACTGCTTCAACAGCAACAGCTACAGCTACAAATGATCCTGAATTATTTGAATTAATTCCAGTCAATTGGGAAGCAGTGGGAGGAAAGAGAGTAGAGGAAGTAAAGAAAGTAAAGAAAGAGGAAAAGGAAGAAACTAAGGCTACACCAACACCAACACCAACAGGAAGAAAAGAAATCAACAGTACGGATTTTTTAATGTATTGAAATTATAGAATATAATGAATATAATGATATATTTACTAATAATTTTTTTATCATCATTTTCTTTAAATTTTATAAGATCCATTTAATGCTGTTACCTCTAAAGGTAAATATTGTTGTAATATATCTCGTAACATATAAATATAATGATGTAGAAGATTAACAAATTATTATCATAACTTTAGTGTCGTATCTTGTCTATTGGGAAAATCCTATACATTCCGGAATTGTTCTAGCAACCGGATTATTGGTCATTATTTATACCTCTTATTATTCCTTGATCAACACTTATTTCGCTTTGATTATCAGTCTTTTGGGTTTGAATTGGATTATCGTAATTGGTAAAAAACAGTTCCAAACTCTATCAAATACTAAATATACTAATCCATTTGAGTAAGTATTATAGTGAATGAAAAGTATGATTTGATTAAATATTTTTAATGTGAATATATTTTATGTTAATTTGTTTGTAATTTTATTAGAAAATTTCTTGTCGATAAACCAATGTTCATCAAACGTGAAACAATTGAAAAATATCTTGATATTTGTGTCGATGGAGTTAACTTTTTGTTACTTGAATTTCAAAAGATTATTTTAGTTGAAAACCCATCAAAAACCTTTAAGGTATGATTTTTTTTTTTTTTTTTTTGGTGTTGTAATATTCTTTATTAACTTTTTATTATTACGTTTGATAACCCTTTGAATTTCATTTAATATATATTTTTTTTTTTTGGCTTATTTAGTATATCGTTTCCTTATACTTTTTATGGACGATCTTAGGATGGTTTAGCATTCGTACACTCGCGTCAATTGGTAAATTTTTTAAATTATCAATATTATTATTATTTTTTTTTTTGAGTGAAGATCTAATTTATTATGTATTTATATTATCTTTTAGTTCTTGTTCTTGGATTTTCTGTTCCCATGGCATATAAGCGTAACAAGTCATTTTTTGATGAAAAATTGAATAGAGTGCATGACATTTCAAATTCTTATTGTGAACAGTTAGTATTCCTTTCTAAATTTTTGAAATATGAATTAAAAATTTTATTTTCTATCTAATCATTATCATTAATTATTAATCATTTATGTAGTGCTACCGGCCTTCTTAAACATCATACTAAAGGAGTAGTTGAAAAGAGTAAAAACGCGATTAACAAAAGTTGGGGGACAAAAGAAGAATAAGGTGGTCATCCTCTGTATGACTTGAAGTCCAAAAGATCAAAAAAAGTTTTTATTATTGCAATGATTACAAAAAAAAAAAAAAAAAAAATTTGGCACATCTGCTTTAGGCTTTGAATGTAAATATATATATATATATATATATATATATATATATATTACTTATAAGGAAAACATATTCTTAAATAAATATATATATTGTAAATAATAATTTTTTAATGATGGCTTTTCTAATCATGACAAACAAAATTTATTATCTTCATCCTTAGTATAAGGATATGAAATAATTTTCAAAGTACATGTATACATAGTTGTGTCTTCTAATGTCTTGAATTAATGTCTTGAGCTATTATTTTACCATAATTACACCTTTAACCACATTCTTTTTATATTTGATTAAAAGTTTTACTTTTGTACTAAATATAAAAATTGCTTAATTCAACTTGTAAAATCTTGCAGATCAAACATTAAAAATATTAATCATTATAAATATTGATTCTATAAAAATAAATGTACAAGTTCAGTCTCTTCATTAATAACTTATCTATATTCATACATGCAAAAATTAAAATGCAAGTAAAAATACAAGTATCTTTTTGAAGTTGTATATGCACATTACATACTGCATAATAATTATCTTCCTTATTTATTAATATTTACAATATATCACGTTTACATAATAATAAAAAACTTTTAATGCAAAAATTTTAATAAATAATATAATAATAATATATACAAGAAACAAAAAAAAAAAAAATAGATAAAAAAAGAATAATAATAAATAAATAAATAAATAAATAAACAAATAAGCAAAATAAATAAATAATTTATAACATTATTCCTAAATATAGAAAATAGAAAATAGAAAAAAAATAATAATAATATATTATGTTAATATATTATCAATGTCCATTCATTTTATCGTAGTCTTTAGTCTTTGATAATATCTCAAAATAAAAAAATGAAAGAAAAATATTATTTCCAAAATTGAATTAATAATAATGTGTTGATATTATGGATTTTATGTGTACAATTAGATATAAATTCCTAATAAATAAATTTTTATCTCAGGACAAAAAAACATATTATATGTTATTAATGTTATTATATATTTTAATGGGTTCTCGAAATGTGCGATCCAGCGCTCAAACAATCAAACAATCAAAAAATTTTATAATGTTTAGGCCTGTTCTTGTCCCATTAATTGTTCTATAACTGCTTTCATCTTTGGTGGTTCTCTTAATCTATCAACCCCACCACCTTTCGAATATTCCATTTCACTTAATACACGCAACCATGCTGATCCACCTTCTGTTCGTAACTCTTCAATTTTTCGTCTATAATCTTCTCCCGCTGTTTCTAATTCAATACGAGAAGGTGGTGGAGGTGGTGAAGGTGATGAAGGTGATGAAGGTGATGATAATTGAGAATTTGACGGAACTTCCGCTGAATTCTTTCGAAATTTAGTTGATTTCTTTTTCTTAATACGTTCCGGATTATTTTCAGCTGCTACTGCTTTTTCAACTTCAACAAGACGATGCTTTGGCAGGGCAACCTCATGTAAATGTTTATCTTTTTTCTTTTTCTTTCCTGATTTAGAACTAATAGATTTTATTTCTGCCAATTCCGATCCACTATAATTCTCATCTTCTCCATCCAACTTAACAACCCGTTTATGAAATTTACGACTCTTTTTAGTTCGTAGAACTTGAATAGGTTTATCATCGTCTAATTTCCCTGGACTAGTTGAAAGTAAACTTTCATCGTTCATAACAGCTGTAGGAATCTTTAGAGAAAAAACGGATGGTTTATTATTTGTAACCAATTGACGACGTTCATTATAGGTAGGTCCTGTTCCATCTAAAATAATTTCTACGCCGTTATCACGATAAATCTGGAAAATATTAACTCGGTAATTTGGCTGTTTTTTTTTTAAAAAAAAAAAATAATAATAATAAAATAAAAAAAAAAAAAATAAAAAATTATTTTAATGTTTTGTTTATTTATTAATTTTTCATAAAATAAATCTCAGTTAACTTAAGTAATTACGTTCAGTTCATACCTGATATTTTGTAAATGGATTACCCTCAACATAAATTTGATTTATTCCCGGTAATTCCGTCATTCTTCCAATTTCGTCCCAATCAGTTAATCGATTCTCCCTCACGTCTACATATTCTAAAGACCACATTCTTTCTAAACCACATAGATTTTCTACCCGATTATTTCGTAAGTCTAATTTCGTCACATTGGTAAGTATATCATAAATACCCGTAACTGACTCTATCATATTATTACTAATATTCAAATATTGTAAATTGTAAAGTTGAGACAAGCCTGCTGGGACAGCAATTAGAAGATTATTTGATAGATCCAAACTTGTACATTTGGTAATATAGGAAAGTGGTTCATTTGCTACAAAGGTGAGCGAATTATCAGAAAGATTTATTGCTTTCAGGTGTAACCAGATTCTAGGTGGTAAAATACTATCTGGCGTATAATCTATCAAACTATGATTATGATTATTATTATTATTATTATTATTATTCCAAGATTGTTCTTCATTATTTTGATTTCCATTTATATCGGTTTTATTGTCTTTTTGCTTTCGTCTTTTTAATCCAGCAACTACTGTATCAACGAATAACTCATAAATGTCATCAATTGATCCCCGTTGTAATGATAAATATTCCAATTTTTCTTGTAATATATCCCATCCATCAAACATTTTAGGTGATAATCCATAAATTTCAAAATGAGTCAAATTTTTAAAAAATGTCAAAGATAACATAGATCCAATGGGCCAGTTTTCAGAACCTTCAATTTTTTTTTGTGTATTAATTGAAAGGTTTAAGCCAGAAAGTTTGGTAAATGCACGATGTATGTTTACAATCTCTAACTTTATTGGAATTTTTTCATTTTTTTGGGCGGCATTATACCATCCTTGCCACCCAGTAAAAAGTGATAATGAAGACATGGCAGATGACATAGAATTAACAGATGTAATTGATGCAGTTTCTAATTGGTCATTTGAATCAATTTCAAGTATGCCTCCATCATCTCGCTTGAAATCGACAGCTGCTTCAAAGGAACCAACATCAAGACCTAAATCACTAAACCGAGTTAATAAATAATATAAGTGATAAAGATCAAGGGTAATCAAGATATTTTTGCGACAGTCTGTAGAGCCTGGAGGTGAAGTTGGAGTAGTTGATGCTGTCGAAATGGACGGTTTAAAGTAAGAACTGGTCAACGCTGAAGAAAAAGACCAAAGATTTGTCATAGAGAAACTACCACTATCCGACCTTCTATGACCAGTTAAGTGTGACGAAGGTGGAGGCGAACTAGTAGCAAACATCCTTCGTTCATTAGAACGAATATATTGAGCCAAAGTACGAATATATTGCTCTCCTGTTATTGTAGCCATATTGTAACTATTGAATAATATTTTAAATTGATATATTATTATTCTTAAGCTGGAAAAAATATATTTAGATAAATTAAAAATGAAAATTTTCTACGTATCGGGAGAATAAATAAGGATCTTGAATATCTTTAATATCTTTAATACATGATCGTCGACAGTATATTCCTTGTGAAAAATATAGGCGTACCTCCGCATGACAAAACCCCCCCGATAAAGTAAATGCACATGACTACTACTAACTGAATTTTCTAATTTTTATTGGTTAATTTATAGTCAGTGATAATCCAATAAATAAATAAATAAATAAATACAAAACAAGGCGTGACGAATTTGTTGTTTTGATTTTTGGACTCGAACGTTAGACATTTACTTTTTACTTTACTTACCTTGAATTTTATGTTCTCACTATTTTTTTCACCTATTTTAACTTTCTTACTAGAATTATAGAAAATGAACTTTCTAAGTACGAAAACTAAAACCATCAAAACATATGGGAGAAAACGAAGAGAACGCGTGGTTTCAGTTTCCTCATTGACCATACCTGCTTTCATTATGGTTTCCTCAAGTAATGTCGAAAGAGACAAACCGCAAAGAAAAAAATTGAAACGTAATGCTTCGCCTACCACAAATTTATATAATACTGGAGTTGACAATACAGAAAATTCGGACAATGAGCTAACCCATAGATGGCGACTCGCGAAGAATTCACCAGCACGAACAACAAATTCCCACGAGTCAACTGAAATGAACAATCAAAGGTCTAATAAAAGAAACGTGTTTGATAAATCACCATCCCCAATTCAACTAAGTAATTACATTATTCTTTCATATATCTCTAAAAAATAAAAAAAAAATAAATAAATAACTTTTATTCACCGTTAAAAAAAAAAAAAAAAAATTTTGAATTATGCAGAGAAACCGAAAATTATGACGAAATCCAAATCTATTCGGGATCAAGAGACAAAAGTCTTTAAATCAATAGATAATTCCAATATTTCCAATACTTCCAATACTTTTAATAATTACGCGACAAGATTGACTAATACTTTCAGAACAGAGTTGATTAATACTTCCAAGAAAATATTAATTAACACATTACAAGACGAATTGGAAGTGCTTTTGAACTCGTGTAAGCAAAAGCAAATTTATACTTTTGATGAATATATCGGAGTCAAGTAAGTAATTGTTTGATGATGTACTTGAAAGAATACGCGATTTATCAATTTATTATTAATTTAATTTAATTAATTTAAATATTATTAAAATAATGACTCAATGATATTTAGAGCAATTAAAAATGTCTTGAAACTAGGAGAGGCGACATATTCGGAAGTATTTACGGCCATCACGTCTAAATTTACTTTGAATAGAAAAATCAAATGTGTATTTAAAATAATACCTTTTGGAAAGGGAAATCAATGTAAAATCAATGACATCATACAAGAAGTAAAAATGACTTCTCAATTAGGAAGTCGAGCCAGTCTTAATGTTCCATTAGCGACCAGCTTCATAACATTATATAGGTATGAAATGTATCTTTAATACATCTTATTCAAAAAAATTTTTAATATTTCATAAATATTCTTAATTTTTTTTTAAGTGTTGCTGTTTGTCGTGGAAAATATCCAGAATCATTACTTAAGGAATGGGATCGGTGGAATTCAATATATAAGTCCGAGAATAGACGTCCAGGTATATTTACATATTTGTAAGTTTAGAATTAATAATAATAATAATAATAATAAATAATTTAAATTTGATTAGATTACTTTGACGAAACTCAACTATATATTGTTCTCGTCGAAGGAAATGGCGGTATTGCTCTCGAGACAGCTGAATTGAAGAATTGGGCCCAGGCGTGGAGCCTTCTTTCGCAAGTCGGCTGGGGATTATCTCAAGCCGAATATGTAAGTTTTTATATGTAAATAATTATGTGATTCATTCTAACATTTTCTTACATTGATATTTAACAGAACTTGAAATTTGAAGTAAGTTTAAATTGAGATATAATATATAATCAATGAAATGCAAGAAATAATTTATTAATCAATTCATTTTATAGCACCGTGACCTCCACTGGGGAAACGTTACGTTCAAATCAACAAGGTTGACAACATTCACGTACGATCTTCCATCAATAAATATAAAAGCTGAAGTTCCTACATTTGGAATTCGTGCATACATAATTGATTTTACATTTTCAAGAATGGAGCGTGGTATGTAATAAAATAATATAACGAAATTCATTTCGAAATACTAATTAAAAATGATGATAAAATTCATTAGATAATGAAATAATACATGTTGATATATTAGATGAAGATATTTTTAAAGGAGAAGGTGATTATCAATATGATATCTATCGAATGATGAAGGAGGAGACGAAAGGTGATTGGAAATCCTTTAAACCGAAGACCAATCTATTTGTAAGTTTTTATTTTATTATATTTTATTTATATTTATTAATTAGTTATTAAAAATATATTGATATATGTTTAGTGGCTCCATTATTTGGCCGATAAGCTATTAACGTCGAAAGATTTACCAAAGGTCAAAAAGGACCATAATGAATATCAATATTATAATGCCATTCTTGAGTTTAAAAAACGGGCACTCAAAAGTGGAAGGTACAATAGTGCCTTAGAAGCCATGAAAGATAACTTTTGGCGATTATGATTTTAGAATATTCAAATTGCTTAAATTATATTTAAATTTTCAATTCTCAAATTTCTATCATATTCAAATTATGTAAATTGCACAATTGTAAATAAAAAAAATTAAATAAACAAATTATTGTTTCAAAGTAATGAAACTTTGTAATTTGGACATAATAATTGTTTACAGCTTGTTTCTTTAGAAGGCAAAAAAAAAAACACGATTAATACTCGAATAAATATGTATCAAAAATAACCATAGGTATATCAAAAATGTATAAAAATGTTAATTGAGATTCCCAAAAAAAAGGGGATGTCTAAAGCGGAGTTAATCAAATAATTGTCGAAATTAATTAATATTAGAGTGAGGACCAGAGTTTAAGTAGATATTATATGTAAAATTGCCTCCCCGACATTTTTTATTAATGCATCAAGATATAACAAAATTCACGATGATTTGCCATAGTCAACGAAAAATCTCGTGATTTATTTCGCCCAAAAAAAAGGCAAAAAAATTTTTAAGACGTCACACCACAAGGGTGTAACTATGCCTTAAATTGGTTGATGGAGAATGAACCCCAATTCCGTCCTTATCTAGGGGATTGCCAACTATCTCTCCTTTCTTATCAACACAAGAGGTAATAACAGTAAAATAATTATATATACCAATTTAAAAATATTAATAAAAATTATGGGATGTGATTAGTCACATGAATTATATAAATAATTTTCTATCATTTTTTTTCACAATAAAACAACCCTCCTTTTTTTCTTGCTTTGCCATTCTTCGCGTAATTTTTTTCCTTTATAAACTCCGAATGCAACTACTTACCCTTTCACTCCATTCTTTAACCTTAGCCGCTCTGGGAGCGACTATTTATTTATATTATTATACTGCTTTTTGTGGATGGAAATGGAAAGGTGAATTATTCAAGATGAGAACTTAAATAAAATAAAACAAAATTTTTTCATGAAGATAAACATAATAATTATTTATTAAAGATTCCGAGACACGGATGCTTTTCTTGGCTGATCCACAAATTGAAGGGGATTCAAAAGTAAGAAAACAAGGAATAAGAGGTTTGTACATTATTTCATTTTGATGGAATTGATATAATTTATATAATTATTACCAATTACATTTGAAAATAAACAGGAGAAATTGATTTGATCGCCAATGACATTTTTATTCGACATGTATATACATCATTTGTATCTCCATATTCATTATTCACACCAAAACCGACACATTCAATAATACTTGGTGATTTATTTTCAAGTCAATGGATTAATGATCAAGAATTTGAGAGAAGGGTAAAGAGATATAAATGGATATTTGGTGATCCTAGAGGGGTAAGATATATTTGTGATATTTTTTTCATGTAATTTCATGTGATTGTTTTTTTTTTTTTGATTTTTTATATATAATATTTAATATTTTAATCAATTAATTTTTTTAATAGGAATATAAACATGAATTTATAAATTTAACAGGGAATCATGACATTGGGTATAGTAGAGATATAACAAAACATAGGGTGGATAGGTGGGAAAAGGAATTTGGTAAAATGAGTTTTAATAGATGGATTCCTTCTAAAGAACAAATCTTGTCGACCTACAACATAGATGAAGATAATAAGAAATATCATAGATTAGCCGTTATAAATTCTATGAATATAGATGGTCCAGCATGGGATGAGGTAATGTGTTTCACTTTTATTATTATTGTTGTCACTTATTGTTGTCATTTATATTAATCCAATATTGCCTTCTTCTTCTTCTTCTTCTTCTTGTTCTTCCTTCTCTTCTTAATTATTATTAATTAATATAATATTAATTAATTAATTTATTTATTTATTTATTGATTAATTAATTAATATTAATTTATTGATTAATAATAATTATTTTGTTTATTAGCAATTGCGTTATGAAACATGGTCCTTTCTTGATGAATTGGCAAAAGAACGTGAACAAGAGAATTATCAAACACCATTAATTTTATTACTGCATATACCAATATTTAAAAAAGGTGGATTATGTGTTGATGGTCCAATGACTGTAGTAGATGAGTAAGTTTTATAGTTTAATTATTAATTCTAATGTTAATATTAATTCTAATGTTAATATTAATTTAAATATTAATTTTAATGTTAATATTATATTAATCCTAATGCTTATTAATTCTAATTCTTTTATCAATGTATAATTTTAATATTTATTTTTGTAGGCATGAATTCATTATAGAACAAAATCATCTATCATATAATGCATCAAAATTCATTCTTACTAAACTCAAGCCTAAATTTATATTTGCAGGACATGATCATGAAGGATGTGATATTACACATGTTATACATATGAATAATGATGGGGATTATTCCTTGGAAGCTTATAGAACTTTTGATTTTGAAGCAAGAAAAAAAGAATCTGGTTATTTGGATGGTAAAAGGACATGGGTTATTAGAGAAATTACTGTTAGATCAGTTATGGGTGAATTTGGAGGAAATGCTGGATTATTTGAGATTCATAAAAAAAGAAAAGATAATGGAAATGAAGGTAATTTATTATTTATTTATTATTTATTTACTATCATTTATTTGTTCATTTATTTTATCTATCTATTCATTTATTTTATCTATCTATTTATTAATTTATTTATATATTAATTTTATTTTTATTTATTTAGAATTTGAATATAATTATTCATCATGTCCATTTGTAATTAATCATATACCCTGGGTTATCATAATAACAGATATAATTTTATTGTTAGGATTTGTTATTTATAAATTATTCTGGATGAATATTTTGAAAATTTTTTATAAATTAAAAATTTTTATTTATAATCATTATTATTATCAACAGTTAGATCAAAAACAAAAATTACAAACAAAAAGTAAGATAATGAAAAGAAATAGTAAAAATAATTTTAGATTTAATACAAAAAAATATATGTTATATGTAAAAAATTGATTTGTTTGTATTAAAATAGTATTTGAATTTTTTGTTTATTTTTGACAATATATATTAAATAAATATAAAAATATAGATATATAGATACATATAAAATTAATCTAAAAATACATATAAAAACATATGCATAAAATTAAAATTGTGTAAAAATTATGCAATAAAATTATGCATAAAATTAAAACTGTGTATAAACCTTTGCATAAATTATAATCTTTGTTCTGGTAAATTATTTTATCTTTGTTGTAATTAGAAAAATTCTTTATTATCAAAAAGAAGTCTTTTGGCATATAATTATATTAATAAAATTATTTAAATTTATTTAAATTTATTAAAAATTTATTTAAATTTATTAAAAATCTATTAAATAACAGATATATATATATATATATATTAGAATTTATGACAACTTTCTAGAATGAGTTACAGTAGATTATATAATAATTAAAACTTTTTTTTTTTTAGATATTTTGTTAAATTTTACCAGGCTTTATTCTTGAAAAACACAAAGTTGCATTTTTTTGATTTTGTTTGGATTAATTCACTTTGTTTTCTATCGTTTTATTCCCACTTAAAAAAGAAGGTATCCTTGCTTTGTAAATTTTCATTTCCATATTTATATGTATAAATATTAAATAAAAGATTAAAATATTTTGTTATATTGTTTTACTTTTATATTTTTACGCTATTTTAAGTATTATTATATTTATTATATTATTATATTATAATATTTTATAAAAAAATAATAAATATTTCTTATACATCACAGGTAAAGTAAGAAAAAAAAAAAAAAAAAAAAGAAAAAGAAATTGTACGTCTATAAAAAAAAATAATCCTGTAAATATTTCGCCTTTTTGCATTTGATATATCCTTATATGTATTATATATTACACTTATTACACTAATTACAAATATTACAAAATATAAAAAATTAAGTTAGAGTGAAAGTTTATCAATAGAAATAAATATATTTTAATCTATTTACTTTACTTTTTATTACAAATCATAAGTTAATCATTTTCCCCAAAAACTGATTAAATGATTAAAATGATTAAAATTGATTAAAAATCATCACTCCCTTCATTTTATTATTATTTTATTCTATTCTAATTCATTATTTCATTCTATTTTTCATTCATTATTCTCATTCCGATTATTATTTTATAAATTTATATAATTTATTTCTATTCCATTCAATTTATTTTATTCTATTCTATTCTATTCTATTCTATTTATATTCTATTTATTCATTCGATTACATATTATTTATACTATTTAATACTATCTATTATATACTATTTATACAATTTATACTAATTTTATTTATATACTTTTAAACTATTGTATTTTATATATTATTGAATATTATTAAATATAAAAACCCAGAATCCTTTTCGTCCAATTTGTTGCCCCTTTGTCCCTTTTTTGTTCAAGTCAACTATTTGAACTTCATCAAATAAAAATATTTCATTTTCCTTTCCACTAAATTTTCTCTTCGCTATTATTTTTCTTATTTTAACCTCGTGTATATTCTTAAAGATTGTGATTTGGGAAATCGAGATTTTCTGCTCTAAAAGAAGTTATTCAAGAAACGTGGGACATCTTCTTATAAGGTAGTGTTTAATGTGTTATTATGTGATACTGTTAATTAAACTTTCTTTTTCGCTTTCGGTTCTTTTCTTTTTTTGTCTTTCTCTTTTCATGCTAAAATTAATTAATTTTAAAATTAACTGTAATAATTAAAATTCCGTAATAATTAAATTCCGTTGATTAATTCTATCAATTTCTGTTTAATTTTATCAATTCTGTTTTAATTCTGTTTAATTCTATTAATTCCGTTAATTAATTCCATTAATTCCATTAATTCTATTAATTCTGTAATTAACTGTAAATAATTAATTCTGTAATTAATCTGTAATTAATTTTCTATTTAATTTATTTATTTTTACTGTTTTTTTTTAAATTTGTGAATTTCGCGTTTTAAATTTTATAATTATCCAATGCACGCATTATTTCTTTATTAATCAAACAATTACAATATTTCTACTTTTCCATAATCCTATTATTATCTATTATTATCTATTATTATCTTATTTTATTATTCTTATTATTATTACATTATTATTATTATTATTATTATTATTACTTTATTATTATTATTACTTTATTATTTACTCAATTATTTACTCAAAATTATTTATTTATTTACAAACAAATTTCCGAGCATCCTGAGCATCCAAAATTTTTTTATCACGCATATATCGCATTTATCGCATTTATCCTTCAATATTCTCCCAATTTCCTGTTTTGATCCTTGTAAATTTTCCCTCCAAAAAAATTTTTTTATCACTTTTTTAACTTCTTTCTTTTCATCTTAATATTATTAATATATTACTTTATATATTTACCTTTATTTACTAATATTTTACATTTGTTACGTACCCCTTTTTTTTGTCTTTTTTTCCGCAGCATTTATTCATCATTTATTATTATCAATATTATCAATATTATCAATATTATCAATATTATCGTCATTTAATCATTTATTAATCATTTAATTTCCATTTTTACTCATTTATATACATGCATTGTATTACATTAATTGTGAAATTTTTATTCTCATAAACACGTGACATTATGCAATATTTCTCACCTATTTACAAAGGGGCAAATTAGTAATTGTCATCATCTCATTTCCTTTTTTTTCTCACTTCTTACTTTTTTTTACGCATACAGACTACGCAAAAAGGTTACTATAGTTTCACTCACTACCAAGTTAGATACCTGTCAAAAAAAATACTCTGTCCAAAAAAAAAAAGTTTACTTATCTACTTTTGAATGCACGCCCCAGATATGAGCGGTCTGGCAAGTAATAATAATAGTCCAAATAATCCTAATAACCAACGAAAGCAGAGTAACGCTTCAGGTCTTAGCACTATGTCGGATGAGTTAACTCCTCGAAGTGCTAAGCGTGAATTAGAAGACGACGACGAACTCGACTCCGAAAACGAGGAAACTACACCCAAAAGCGAAAAACGTGCCGGACGCCGTAAAATAAAAATTGAATATATCGATGACAAAAGTAGACGTCATATCACTTTTAGTAAACGAAAGGCTGGAATAATGAAGAAGGTAAATATTTTTTTTATTGTTTGCTTTTAACCTTTTTTTTTCTTTTTTAAAGGTTAGATAAGTTTCGTGTAAATGTGCATATTATTGTCACCCTTGCCATATTTGTCTTTCTGTTTAAATTAAAATTTCCTCTTTCGTTCAACGAGCCCAAAAGAGGCATACAAACAAAAAGACTATCAATCAACATTAATTTTATCCTCATAAATTAATATCCATATACATACAGGCATACGAACTTAGTACCTTGACAGGAACACAAGTTCTACTTTTAGTGGTATCTGAAACTGGTCTGGTATATACTTTTACCACTCCAAAACTTCAACCTCTCGTTACCAAACCTGAAGGGAAAAACCTTATTCAAGCTTGTTTGAACGCTCCTGATACTCCTTCTGGACAAGAGTCACCTAATACGGTATATATGAAACATATTATTTCACCTGATAATGTTCGCTCAAAGCAGCAACAGTTATAATCTCTATCACCAAATTTCCTTTTTTTTTTTTTTTTTTTTTTTTTTTTTTTTTTTTTTTTTTTTTTTTTTTTTTTTTTTTTTTTTTTTTTTTTTTT